GTGGTATAGCGGGTTAAGCTGCCACCTGCAACACTGATACCCCATTTGGGTGCTGACTTCTGCCTGGCCCAGCTCTGGCCATTGTGGCCATTTGGGGAGTGAACCAGCAGGCAGAAGACCTTTCTGTCTCTCCTTCTCTCTCTAACTCTTCCTTTCAAATAAAAAGTAAATCAATCTCTAAAAAAAGGATTTTATTTGTTTATGAGAGAAAGCGGGAGAGAGGTTATCTCTGATCCACTGGTTCCCTCCCACAATACCCATAATAGCCAGGAGCCTGGAACTCCACACGGGCGGCAGGGGCTCAGCACCTGATGCCTTCCACGGTGTGCATTAGCAGGAACCACGGGAAGCATGAAACAAGGGCAGTGTGCCCATCACGGTGTGAACACACTGTCTGTTCTCTTTTCCCGTTCTACCTAACCTAGCTGACTGCTGACCTTGACTGACCAGACCCACTTTTAACTCAACAGATGAGTAGTGCTGGCTTCCAAATCTGCACGGAGACGGCTCAGACAAGGAAGGAATCTGCAGCTGCCAGAGCCTCGGCCACCTGACCGGGAACTTCAGAGCACCCGCGGGTGAAGAGCCCAACTTCCGATCGCAAGGACCACTGTCCAACCAGGCTCCGGCTGCTTCCCAGACGTGACTTTGGGTGTCCTGACAACCGACTGCATCTGATACCCTCCTCAGCCTCCCCCAGCACCCCGCTCCGCTCAGGAATAGGGTTTGTTGGGAAGGTGGAAGGCAGGCTTTCGCTCAGCTTGTCGCCTCGGTCCCAGGTGAGTGTAGACGTGTAAGTGGTTCCTTCGGCGTGAACCAGGGTCGGCAGTGTCTATGAGCGCCAGGTGGGCTCGTGGCGGCAGTCGGTGGAGGCACGGGTGCGACTCTGGAGCAGATGGGGGCTTCCTGGGGAGTGCATCTTCAGTCCCCAGGGTTGGGTGCCAGCCACTGCAGGGTTTGTGACGGCTGGAGCCGCCTTCTTGTGCTGGGGGACACAGAGGAGGCTGCCTCCTTGTCCTACCGGTCAAGCCTCAAGTGCTGCTGGGGCTTGTGGCAGCACTTGTACACTGAGGAGAGCACTTGAGGCAGAAGGCAGGGTCTGCTCTCCCCACCCCCGACTAAGACTGCTGGCCTGCCTGCCTCGTACTAGCTCCCGCGTTTGGTAAAACCGGCCTTGGAGCGCCAAGCAGCACGGGCCTGGCTCTCCTGTGTGTCAGTGGGGTCCTTACTGACAACCAGGGCTCCAGGAGCGGAAGCCCTGTCCCCTCCGGCTGGCCTCCCCGGGGGACGGAGCCTGGCCAAGGAAGAGGATCAGAAATGTCTTAAGAGGAGAATTATTCTCCAAGACAAACTTTCGTTCCAACTTTTGGCTGCTTTTTGAGAAAATGCTTGACTGGTTCGGGGACAGAGGGAGAGGGTGGTGGGAGGGAACTTTCCAGATTCTCACAGAAGACAAGTCGGCAGTGAATATGCCTTACTAACCCAGGGCCTTCAACCCTGGCTGAAGATTAACAGTGACAGGTGAGTTACGAAACTGGAAAACTCGCTGTGGGTTCCATCTACTGCATTGTGCAAGTGCTAAGTTCTGGCCAGTTCTGTGAAGCAGCCCGCCTGGGTCATCACTGCCCACTGCCCACTGCCCGGGCTCCATGGGCCCCACCTCCATCACAGTTCCCCGCGTCTGTGGAGTTACTCAGAGAACAGCGCTGTGCCCGGTGCCCAAGATGACACTGCTGGGAGGGGCGGTGCTGCCTGATTCTGCACCATGCTCCTGACCCACTGGGGGCAGTCCCACTGGGCAGCGAGCTCCGGGCACGACCGCAGAGAGAGCAGGGTCAGAGAGCGGAATCCAGGGTGAAGAACTGGATTCCTTCAAAGGGGCATTTCCACTCGCCAATGGCTGTGCAAGCGCTTCGCTGTCCCGGGATGGTGCAGCAGGAGACACGGGGCCTGGCAAAGTCCCCACTCCCCCCCACATCACCAGCTGACAATGCAATCACTGTTCCTATTCAGACCTCCATGGTTTCTTAAGCAACGGCTTAGGATGGGTCAAGATTACTTGATATGCTCGTATCAGCCAATAAAACACCAGCAAATTATAATAGTTTGGACATATTCAGTTGAATGTTTTTTATCATTCACTGAAGTCACAGATCTCCTAGAGCAAAGTCTATGAAAATGTTTAACCTTGAACTCCGTGCAATTAAGAATAGGTTTGATATGAATTACAACCTAATGACTTTTTACTTTCTAGACAACAACCGCTTGAAAAACTTTTTTATTTGGGAGGCAGAGAGAGCAAGAGAAAAAGAGAGAGAGAGAGAGAGCGAGCGAGCGCACACAGGTGCTTCCAGCTGCTGGTCCTCTCCCCTCAAGGTTCACAATGAGACCCGTCTGGGGCTGGAGCCAGAAACCAGGAACCCAACCCAGGTCTCCCCCATGGTGGCGGGAAGTCTCCCAGGGGGTGCCCTAGCAGGAAATCAGAGTCAGGAGCCAAAACTGGGTATCCAACCCAGGAGTTCTGGGTTAGCCACAAGGCCAAACATCTGCCCTATCTTTTTTTTCCTCTTTATATATTTTTATTTATTTATTTCAAAGTCAGACTTACAGAGAGAGGTCTTCCATCTGCTGCTTCACTCCTCAAATGACTGCAGTGGCTGGGACAGGGCCAGGCTGCAGCCAGGAGCCAGGAGTTTCTTCCTGGTCTCCCACACGGGTGCAAGGGCTCAAGCACTTGGACCATCTTCTACTGCTTTCCCAGGTGCATTAGCAGGGAGCTGGATTGGAAGTGGAGCAGCCAGGACACGAACCAGAACCCACATGGGATGCTGGTATTGCAGGCAGCAGCTCTATCTCTATGCCACAGCACTGGCCCCAAATATTTTTTTAAAGATTTATTAATTTATTTGAAAGGCAGAGTTATGGGTTGGGGAAGAGAAAGAGAGATCTTTCTTCTGGTTCACACCCCAAATGGCTGCAATGGCCAGGGCTGAGTCGGGCCATAGGCAGGGGCCTGGAACTCCGTTCGGGTCTTCCACATGGGTGCAGGGCCACCTTCCACTGCTTTCCCAGGTGCATTAGCAGGGAGCCCAGCAGAGCAGCTGGGACTCGAACCTGTACCCATACGGGATGCTGGCACTGTATGCGGCAGCTTAACCTGCTACACCACAACGTTGGCTTCCCTGCCCAGTGGATGGAAGACCTCTCGTCTCTACCTCTCTCTCTCTCTCTGTAGCTCTGCCTTTCAAAGAAATCATTTAAAAAAAATCATTCTCAAAATTTTACTGATCCTGAATCACAGCCACTCCGTGGAGCACATTCCTAACAACTACATCCACAGATACTGCCCCTCCTGGGAACACGCACACGCCCTAGCAGTCCTCACACCCACTCTACCCCTGATTATACACTGGGAACAGCGTTACAGGCCCTCCTCGCCAACTCCCACTGCCTTCCCGAGACACCTGAGGCGCCCAGGAGACGGGACCTGCTGCAGGTCCAGCTTCTGGCCAAAGGCTCCATTCGTCCACATGTATTCCCATCCCTTCCTTCCTGCACCTGTCACAGTGCCTGGAACGCCGAAGCAGCTCCGGCACCCAGGGCTGGATGGAGAACAGAGCCTCCAGAGGCACCCAAGCCAGACCTAGAAGGTGAGGCCGAAGCAAGATTAGGAATGGCGTAGCGGGTAAAGTCGCCGCCTGCAGTGCCGGCATCCCATATGGGAGCCGGTTCAAGTCCCATCTGCTCCTCTTCTGATCCAGCTCTCTGCTGTGACCTGGGAAAGCAGTAGAGGATGACCCAAGTCCTTAGGCCCCTGCACCCACGTGGGAGACCTGGAAGAAGCTCCTGGCTTTGGGTCGGTGCAGCTCTAGCCATTGTGGCCATTTGGAGAGTGAACCAGCAGATGGAAGACCTCTCTCTCTCTCTCTCTCTGCCTCTCAAATAAATCTTTTTTAAACAAAAAAAAGGAATCGAGAAAAGTAGAGAGAATGACAAGAGAGGGTCGGGGCGGAGGGTAGCTGCCTGCACTCTGTGGTCAAGGAGAGAAAGGGGCTGAGCAGTGCAAACACAGGAGACTCACAGGAGTCAACCAGGTGATGCAACCAAGGGCTTGCACGCAGCAGGGGGCGGTTAAAGGAATGCGGCTCTCCGAGGTATGCGGCTCTCCGAGGTAAGGCTCAAGGTTCAAGACCCGTGGCCTTGCTCTACAAAGAGGCAGCTGTGTGACCTTGTGCAGGTTCCTCCACCTCTCTGAGCCCCACGTTTCCACAGTACCTAGCTGGGTTGCAGGAGCTTAACTGCAAAAGGATCCAGAACACCCCAAACACAGCTGGCAGTTACGGCGGCTGCCGTCATTCTGGGAAGGTCTCAGGCCGGTGGCACGTGGGACATCAGGAAATTCGTGGTCCACCCGGTCCCAGCACTACTGCTCCAAGCTGACGCACGTGCCCATGTCTTCCTTGTGGGATTCGCAGCCTCAGGGCCGGGGGTCCAGGGGGCTCTTCTCTGCCCGCTGAGTCTCGCCTGCTCTGCGCCAGGACCACAGGCCAAGCGCCGGGGTCCGGGGTCGCCAGGCCACCTGAGGCTGAGCGCGCGCGCTCGGCGGCCGTCCCCGCGGCAGCCATCTTGGGTATCCGCGCGCGGGTGTCGTCACGGCGCCGCCGGGGACGGCGCGGCAGGGTGCGCGGCGCGTGGAGAGCCGAGCCCCCTCCCAGCGCGGGGGAGACCCGCTCCGCCGCCGGGCTCGGGGGTCGCCGGCATGCCGGAGGCGGGGCGCTGCCAGGGACCCCCGCAAGGGGCAGGGACTCCTCCTCCCCCAACCCCAGCCCCTGGGGCATCCCTGGCCCCCAAAGGCGGCTGCCGACCTCTGAGCCTGGGGGGGGTGTCTCCTCGAAACTGGCTAGCCTAGGCGCGCGGCCCGAGCCCGAGCCCGCGCGCCCCCGGCGGCCTCCCCGCGCGTGTTCCACCCACTCGGGCCGCGCCCACGGCCCGCGACTCACCGCTTCCCCCGGGGGGCCGCCGCCCGCGCCGCTCGCAGCTCCTGCTCCGCTCCGCGCCGCGCCGCCTCCACCGGAAGCGCTTCTCCCGCCACGGCGGCCCCGCGCGCCGCCGCCACCGCCGCCGTCCTGGAGCGCGCCCTCGGAGCGCGTCCCCCCGCGCGCGCGCGCCTCCGAGCCCGAAAACCGCGAGTTCGGCGAGCTGGCGCGGACCCGCCCCGGGAGTCTCCGCGCCGTCGGCCCCGCCTCGCCGGGGCCGGGCAGGATATCCCGCGGCCCCGCGATGGTGCTGCTTTTGGCACCTGGCCCGGGCGCCCTTGGCTCCATCACGGACTCCCACGTTCATCCTCTCCGCGGGTGGGGGCTAGGGCGGGCGCTGGAACTCGGGTCTGGCTGCGGGGTGGGCGCGGGAAGGAGGCGCCGTGGTGTGTTATCGCACGGGTGTGTTTCCGAGCCTCCGAGGGCCACCCTGCAGCGCCGGGCCGGGCTCTGCGGGGCTTTCCTCGCGTGCCCGTGGGCAGCTGGGGGCCGGCCGTGGCTTGGCTGATCTTGGCAGGCCTCTCCCGCGTGTCTGCGGCCGCCGCCGGGACAGCTGGGCTGGCCTGGCGCTGCTCCACGTGTGGCGCGTGGCATATTCCAGCAAGCTGGCTGCAAGCACACGTGGCAGAAGCCTCGGAGGACGGGGAGAGGCAGCGTGCCCAAGGCCCGTGGAGGCCAAGGCGAGGCACACCCTCCCTTTCGGGGCATCCGATTGGTCAAAACTGGGCTCCAGAAAAACAGACTTGGTCTCTTAAAGGGAAGGGCTGCCCCTGGGACACTGTCCAGAGAGGAGTGGACAACGGGGCATGTTTTTTTCCCAATATTCCGTCGTGTGCCTTTTGCCTCTAGTGGCTTTTGCCATCCCAGTTTCTTTGGAGGAACACCCCACCCCCACCCCTGAATTATTTGATGTCTCAGGTTGTCAATCACAGAACTACCTGCTCAGCCAAGGGGACGTGACCCAATCTGGATCCAACAGGATCCCATCTGAATTGGTGCGCGCGCACAGCAAAAAGAGAAGTCCTCCATCCCCCACCTGCTGAGGTTGCCAAGCTGAGCGCATGTGCACTAAGATTGCCCAGGGTGTAGGGGCCAGTGCTGTAGCATAGGGGGTAAAGCCTCCACCTGCAGTGCCAACATCCCATATGGCTGCCAGTTCGAGTCCCGGCTGCTTCACTTACCATCCAGCTGTCTGCTATGGCCTGGGAAAGCAGTAGAGGATGGCCCAAGTCCTTGGGCCCCTGCACCCTCATGGGAGACCCGGAAGAAGCTCCTGGCTCCTGGCTTTGGATCAGCCCAGCTGTGGCCATTGCAGCCGATGGAAGACCCCTGTCTCTCTGTTTCTCTCTCTGTTTCTCTCTCTCTCTCTCCCAAATAAACAAATAAATCTTTAAAAAGAAATATTCTCAAGGGTTCCCTGTTTGCAGCTACAGAAGTGAAAGAATTCAAATTATCTTACTTCTGGCCCTAGGCTCAGCCAATCCTGAAGCTCTGTGTCGCTCCTAGGCTTCTGGTTGTGGGAGCCACTGAGTCTGTCTCCTCCTTTTCTTTCTGTCCCCCTCTTCCTTCCTCCTGCTGCCCCTCCACCCTCTCCCCCTTCTCTTCACTTCTCCCTCTCTCCCCTTTCTAACCTTGAGCTTCTCTGCCTCGGGTTTCCATCACCAATTGACTGCCAGGGTTCGAAGCTTCAATGTAACCTCTGAACAGAGGGCCACTGGCTTGGAAAAGGCAGGGAAAGGAGGCATGAGATATGGAGTTAAAATTGGAAAGCAGGTGTGTGCATGTGGTCCCACTGCCGTTGTTCTAAAATACACATCTTTCAGAAACAGCTTCCGGGAAGACACAGGGTGCCGGCGAGTTCTGGCTGGGCTCCCAGTGACCGAGGTTGCAAAATCCCCATGCATTTTAATCTGGGCTCTGAACGATTCGCCGCGCGACAAAAGCCAAGCAATGCTGAAGTCAGCAGCGATGGCCGCACGGTTCTGAGCCCAGCAGAAGTTCAGTGAGCCGAGGAAAGATCTCGCTGAGTGCTCCGTGGGGGAAGAGTTCATCTGGGTGGAACAGGGAATCCTGTGAGAACCAAGTTGTTTTTTTCTATGTTAATTCTTCAGTGAAAACTTTAAATTCCAGATTATATGAGCCATTTTTTTTCTTGATGATAAAAGAGACCCAAGGGGGCTTGAAGAAGCTCGTGGAAAATGGAATTGAGAGATCAAAATAAAAAATATAAGCTTTATAAACTCCATCAAGTTCAAAACACTTTTGTAAGCAAGGATGTTAGTTAGCTCTTTAGTAATCCCTAAAGAACTGAGGGTCCTGGGAACTTAACTGTGTCAATGCTGTCCTTTTCACATTATGGACCCAAGCAGAATGAGTTTTAAAATAACTTTTTAAGTTAGAATTTATTTGAAAGATAGAGGAACAGAGAGACAGCTCCCATCTGCTCTTTCACTCCCCAAATGCCCACAACAGCCAGGACAGGGTCAGGCTAAAACCAAGAACCAGGGATTCAGTCCTGGGCTCCCATGTGGGTGGCAGGGACCCAAGTACTTGAGCCATCATCTGCATCCTCGCAGGATGCCCACCAGCAGGAGGCTGGAATTGGAAGCAGAGCTGGGAGTTGAACCCAGATCCTCTGATATGAGGTGCGGGAATGCCAAGTGGGTGCCTCAACTGTGGTGCCAAGTGCCTACCCCTGAACATGTTTTAAGATTAGGAAATAAAAGCCAGCAGGAGCCAAGTCGGTACTGTGGGGCGAGTACCTAATGCCTTCCACTGAAATTCTTGCAAACGGGTGCTTGTTGGAAGCAAGGAATGACCAAGGGCATTGTCATGGTGGAGAAGGAAGGATTCTTTGGTGAAGCTGCCTAGGCATATGCCTGCTAAACCCTTAGCTAACTTTCTCAAAACAGTTGTTGTCATTCTTTGGTTCTCTAGAAAGCCAACTAAATGCCTTGAGCAGTGGTTAAGAAAAAAAAAAAAGGTCACTATGACCTTTGCTCTTCCTTGGTCCACTCTTGATCTGACTGGAGCACCTTCACCTCCTGGAAGCCTTTGATCGTTCTTCAAGACGACACTGGCTAAGCCCTTGTTCCTGTCATTCCATCACAGTTCTTTGAAGAAATGCCCGAGGATCTTGTTTAAGATATGTGTTGGAAGCATCTCTGCCGCTGATGTGCGTGGCTAATCTTTGCCCCCCATATCCCCCAGCCTTTTATTAATTTAAAATGCTCGAGGAACATCTTAGGAAAGGAGGTATTTAATTTATTTATTTGACAGGTAGAGTTATAGACAGTGAGAGAGAGAGAAAGAGACAGAGAGAAAGGTCTTCCTTCAGTTGGTTCATCCCCCCCAAATGGCCGTCACGGCTGGTGCGCTGCGCCGAGCTGAAGCCAATAGCCAGGTGCTTCCTCCTGGTCTCCCATGCGGGTGCAGGGGCCCAAGCACCCGGGCCACCCTCCACCGCCCTCCTAGGCCACAGCAGAGAGCTGGACTGGAAGAGGAGCAACCGGGACCAGAACCTGGTGCCCATATGGGATGCCAGTGCCGCAGGCAGAGGACTAACCTAGTGCGCCATGGTGCCTGCCCTAGGAAAGGAGGTTTATTACGGTTCACGGTTTGGAGGTTCACAGTCCAGTATCAGGCAGCCCCATAGGTCCAGGCATCTGCTGATGCTGGAGAATTGTGGAGGGAAAATCACACTGAGCCAGGAAGAAGAGAGAGGGGGGAGAGGCTGGGAGTACACTCTGCTTATAGAAGCAACCCTCTCTGGAGGGCTGCCTTTGCAAAGGGCACAGCCCCAGGGGCCTAAAATCATCCCATTAGATCCCCCTCCTAGTAGATCAGATCTCCATGCTTAATCCATCCACCTTGTTAACATCAATCCATTAATTTTAAAAAAAATATATTTTTTTTTGACAGACAGAGTGGACAGTGAGAGAGAGAGACAGAGAGAAAGGTCTTCCTTTACCATTGGTTCACCCTCCAATGGCTGCTGCAGCCGCCACGCTGTGCCCGGCGCACCGCGCTGATCCGAAGGCAGGAGCCAGGTGCTTCTCCTGGTCTCCCATGAGGGTGCAGGGCCCAAGCACTTGGGCCATCCTTCCACTTGCACTCCCTGGGCCACAGCAGAGAGCTGGACTGGAAGAGGAGCAACCGGGACAGAATCCAGTGCCCCAGCCGGGACTAGAACCCGGTGTGCTGGCACCGCAAGTGGAGGATTAGCCTATTGAGCCGTAGCGCCGGCTGATCAATGCATTAATTGTTAACACAACACTTTGGGGTTCAAGCATCTACAACATGAATTTGGAGAGCCAAATCCTGCTCAGATGATCACATTCCCTCCAAAACTCGTGTCCTTCTCACCTACAAAAGACACTCATTCCATCTCCAAAGTTCCAAGGCCTTAACTGAGTCCAACCTTCATGCAAAAGTCCAGAGTCGGTAGCATCAGCTGAGCCTCAGGCGAGCTCTGTTTGCTATGGTGAACCTTCGGGAAATAAAACAAGTTTCACGCTTCCAAGATCCATGGTGGGACATTTCTATTCCAAAAAGGCTATGCAGGAAAATTTAAAAGAGTAATTGGGCCGAAGCCAGACACAAATGTAGCAGGGTCAACCTTAAATTCTGAACCTCCCCTCCCCTGCCCGGTGCTGTATCCGGCGCACCCTGTCTTGGGAGCAGTCCCACCCAGCAGCTTTGCTGGTTGCCGCCGGCGCCTCAGTTCACATCGGAGTCTCACCTCCGCAGCCGCACCAGGCATTGCCCATGCCTGTCACTGCTCTCCGACTGGACCCCCAGTTTGTCCAAACTAGACTTTGAAATATAGGCAGAAGCCTCCGTTCATCCACTGTCCTGTTGGTCTCCATCCACGACTGTTCTCTGAGCCTGTGCGCTGGCGTCGGTGGCTTTCCTAGGCTTGCCTGGCACACTGCTTGTGGCTTCCGTTCGCCGATGTCTCATGTTGCCGGCGCCTCTGCTTTTCTGGGGTCTCATTTGCAGCTCTGCTCCAGTACAGCCTCGTTCCACGCAGGGGCTCTAACACTGCAGCACAACTCTGCCTGCTTTCTCAGGCTTTGCTTTGAAGTCTGGGTGGAAGCTTTTTTAA